AATTCAACAAATTTAAAGAACACGCAAACAAACAAATCAAAGAACTAAACGAAGATAAGGATAAACTTCTGAATGAATTCATAAAAGAGAAACATTGAAGAAAACTCAGGCAGAAATGAAGAAGGAAGTGCAAAACTCAATAAGCCAACTTGAAACAGGGAAAAGCCTCACTGCTAGAAAGAATGAAATGGAAAACAGAATATCAACACTGGAGGATAAAGTTGAAGGATTGGACCACTCAAGCAAAGATTATTGAAAATTTAAAAAAACACAGGAATGGAGTATGCAAGAGATGCGGGACACCATGAAAAGACCAAATCTATGGATCATTGGAATAGAGGAAGAAGAAGAATTTCAGGTTAATGGTGTTGACCAGATCTTAAACAGGATTGTAGAAGAGAATTTCCTGAAATTAAGGAAAGACATCCCCATACAAATACAGGAAGCACATAGAACACCAAGTAGACAGGATCAGAAAAGAAACTCCCCATGACATATCATAGTAAGAACACTAAATGCACAGAACAAAGAGAGAATATTGAAAGCAGCAAAAGAAAAGCAAGTCACATACAAGAGCCCATCAGAATTACAGCTGACATCCGTGCAAACTATGAAAGCCAGAAGAGCCTGGACCAAGGTATTTCCAGTTCTACATGACAATAGATGTCAGCCCAGAATACTTTACCCAGCAAAGATATCTATAATAGTTGAGGGGGAAAGAAAAATCTTCAATGACACGAGAAGCCTGAAAGAATACATGTCCACAAAACCAGCCCTTCAAAGAATACTTGAAGCAATACAGAGAGCAGAGAGAGAAGCAACTATATCTTGGGGCAACGAAAGAAAATAAATAAAGGTATAATCTAGGAAACACAACAATACACAGAGAGCACAAACAGCATTCAAAATGATGGCAACCAATACACATCTTTCAATAATAACCTTAAATATCAATGGACTGAACTCCCCAGTCAAAAGACACAGGCTAAGTGAATGGATTAAGAAACAAAATCCATCTCTTTGCTGTCTGCAAGAAACCCATCTCACCTTCAAGGACAGGCACCTCCTTAAAGTAAAAGGATGGAAAAGAATATTCCAAGCAAATGGCACTAAGAAACAAGCAGGGGCTGAAATTCTAATATCTGAAAAAATCGACCTCAAAGTAAAATTCATCAGAAGAGATAAGGAGGGTCACTTCATTCTGATCAAAGGAACAGTTGACCAAGAAGATATTACAATCCTAACATATACGCACCAAACTCTGGTGCACCCAAATTCATAAAAGCAATACTACAGGACTTTAAGACACAGATTAACCCCAACTCAGTAATAATAGGGGACTTCAATACCCTGCTCTCTCCATTTAGACAGGTCAGCTGGGCAAAGAATAAACAGAGAGAGATGTCTGAATTAAATGATACCATACATTAAATGGACCTAACAGACATCTTCGATTATTCCATCCAAGCACCAAAGAATACACTTTCTACTCAGCACCCCATGGACTCTTTCAAAAATTGATCACATACCGGGCCGCAAAACAAACCTCAACAAGACAAAAAATTGGAAATAATCCCATGCATTCTATCAGACCACAGTGCAATAAAGCTCAAAATCAACACTGGACAAAGCCCTAGTCCCTGCATGAACTTGTGGTGATTAAACAACACACTGCTAAACAACAAATGGGTCCAAGGAGAAATTAAGAAACAAAAGAATTCCTGGGATTCAATGAAAAGGACAATACAACACAAAACAACTTCTGGAACACATTAAAAGCAGTCCTAAAAGGGAAGTTTATAACTTTAAATGCCTACAAGAAAAAATTAGAAAGAGCCCAA